GAAGGAGAGGGGAGGGAAGGAAGGAAGGAAGGAAGGAAGGAAGGAAGGAAGGAAGGAAGGAAGGAAAAAGGGAGGGAGAGAGAGGAAGGAATAATCAATGGTAAATCACATGTTTAATCCCAGCACTCAGGAGGCAGAGGCAGGCAGATCTCCAGGAGTTCAAGGCCAACCTGATATTCCAGGACATCCAGGGCTACACAAGAGAGAGAGAGAGAGAGAGAGAGAGAGAGAGAGAGAGAGAGGGTTTCCCTCCCTGTCTATGCAGCCCTGTGAGAACAGACACTTAAATGATGGGACACCCCTTTTCCAGGCCCCAGAGTCATGAAGACCTAGCCCTTCGTCCCAAATGACCCAAGACAGAAGACTTATACAATGGGAAAGGAGTCGGGCAGTGTTGGCGCACGCCTTTAATCCCAGCACTCAGGAGGCAGAGGCAGGCAGATCTCCAGGAGTTCAAGGACAACCTGATATACACAGAGAAACCCCGTCTTGAAAAAAAAGACAAAAAGAATGGGGAGAGAGAGAACCCGCTGGAAACTCCTCCTCCCTCCCCCCCCACCATCCCTCTCAGTCTTCCACCTTCACCCCGGTATTGGCTGACAAATGTTTATTAAATGAAGCATTATTAAGTGAACAAGTGATTTCAGGGGATTGGGGCTTCAGGAGGGGCAGGGCAGACACCTGTTGAATTGGGGGATGGACGGGGAGGGGGCTGTGGGCAGGAGTGGAGAGCTGTCAGGTTTGGGGAGGCAGAAATGGGGGTATGAAGGCATCCGTCAGCAATCCTAGGCACACCCTGGGCATCCTTGTGACAGGGGATGGGCCATGTGCACTCTGTGGGGGCAGCAGGTCCCCAAGCTTCCCCCCCCCCCGTGCGCCCCCATCCCAACGCGCCCATTAATGCCGTTAATTGCAGCATCTTGGTCTGACCTGGGCTGATCCGCGGAGAGGGAAAATGAAGGAATTAGCAAAAATGACAGGGGAAAATTGCCACAATTAGCAGGCAGCATTGTTCCCGCCTGTCACGGGGCTGCCTGGAGCTTGGGTGTGAGGGGAGGGGGTCCCCATCACCCCCTACACTTATTGTTCCTGGAGGTTCAGATGAGGAGGAACAACGGTCAGATGTGGGGGGGGGGTCCCTGGGCTAGGGAGGACTGGGGTAGACTCTTGACTGACTTGGAGCAGGGGTGACATGTCCCTGCCTAGGAACAGGAGTAATCACACCTTTATTTACTCTATGTGTTTCTCCATCATGCTGACCACATGCTTGGCAGCCAAGGAGCTCAGACCTCTGCAGCAAACCCCCGAAAGAGGAAACTGAGGCCCAAGGAGGGAGAGGTGACTCCAGGCCCTCAGCCTAGCAGAG